GATTGGAGTCTGGAAGATAAGGCGCATGATTGTTTGAAATACAAGTTACAACAATTGTTCGCGATTTCTTGAAGTTTAAGTTACAAAGTCAAAGTGTGCATTCAAATTATTCAAGAGAGAATTTCAAATTTCAAACAAGATTCAAGAGTTATTTGATTCCTACGGCAAAGTTCATCATTAATAAATTCATTCAAGTTTGCGCTCATTACATTTTTTAGACAAGTTACAAGGCCTTAAATCACAAGTTACAATTGCTGTTTACAAAACAAAAAAAGAAGAGAGAATTAAATGTTTCTCATTCAATTTTCTATTGCTTCCTCTTCAATAAACTTGTCCGCACTCTTTGACAACCATGCCCTTTTTATCTCTCAACTTCGCTTTGGTCGCCCAATTCTCGTGTTCATGAAACAAGACAAAGGGAAAAGTTAGTAAATAATCAACGTGTGAGAAATTCAAGCAAGAATTAATTGATAAAAGGAATTGGTATCTCATCATAAGGGTTTGTATTTGGAATCAGTTAAAAGGGGTTTATTTTTAATCATGGGCTATTTTTCTCCCAATTGCAAATCACAAAAAGTTGTCACCTTTGGTTCACAAAAAGGAAAAAGGGAGTTTACAAGTATTTTTCTACTGCTGCAAACAAAAACAGAAAAATAGCATTGCTAGTAGGCAGCAACTGTAACAAAACCACAACAGAACAAATGCAACACGAAGGATTGCAACCAAGCTTCCAAACAAAGAAGCAAAATAGCACAACAACCCACAAACACAAAAATAGCACATCAGCAGCCTAACAAAACAACAGGTAGCAGCATCAAACAAGAACAAATAATAGCAGTTCATATAAATACAATGCAAATTGGCAATAGCCTACAAAACTCTGCATCATCATATTCCCTAATATGCAACCCTTCAAAATTCTTACAAAGGCAAAACAGTTTGCATCATTGAAAGCTAAAAGAGGAAAAGGATACAGGTTTGAAAAGATGCCACCTGCATAAAACTGTCCAACAGAACAAGCCAAACACAACATGCCAAGCTGTAAAAAACTGTCCAACAGACAAGCCAAAAACCTGCATCATACAGTCTAAACATTGCACAAAATCAGTAAGACAAAAAACCTGTACTCAAAAGGCCACAAGTCAGCTTTCCAATAATGTTCAAATTTTACTAAGCTTCCCTCCAATTTTCCACCCTTGTTTCATTATAAGAAGGGCCAACCAGTGAGAAGAGAAGGGGAGATTTTTCACACAGCCAACATAAAACCAAAAAAACAGCATAACCGAAACGACATCAACATAAAAACCAGTACCAGAAAACAACAATCTGAGAGAAAACCTCAACCTAAACCATTATTTCATTAACCACAAAACCACCCAAAGTTCTGACTCAGATTTCTCACTCCATAACCTACAATCAAGCATTATTCCAAGCAACAAAAATTGTTATAATTTGTTCAACACTCAGAACCTTCATTCAACAAACCATACCACTCGGAAATCAGAGTTCACCACTAGACGTCATCCATAACGTATTTGCCCCGTCTCGACATCATCAGCACACCCATAATAACTCAACAGTGACCTCAGCATGGGAAATTCAATTGGCAATGAACAAGAATAACAACGGTAGTTTTCGACCAAGAAGCAAAGATTTTGATCAAAAGACATACCTCAATAAGCGTTTGGAAGAAACTAAATCGTTGTAGGTAATTTAATCTTTCACTTACCCTTTGTTTTTTATATAGCTCTACTATTGTGGTTGTTTTATGGAATCTAAAAAACAGAGGAAGAATTAAATCTAAATCTTTATTATCGTTGAAAACGAAGATGAACATAGGATTACCATGAGAGGTTGAGAGAATCTGTCCTTATGTCCAATCATTGGTGTTGTTGAGAGGTTGAAGTTGAGAAAGAGAGGAGGAGACTCGGAGACAAGTGTGGATCGGTGAAGGAGTCGAGTTGGTTTGAGATAACGAAGATGAGATGAAGGATGGAGTCACCGACGAGTTTGAGAAGATTGATCCGAGTTGGAACAGGGACATGTCTAAGCAAGGTTAGAGCGATTCGTGGTAGGAGTGTTCTTGATTGTGGTGTTGCTAACTGAAGAAGAAGGTTAGATGTTTGTCGCTGCAAGTTGAGGATTGAAGAATGAGAACCCTAGTTCCTCTTTTAATTTTTTTTCGTTTATTTGTTCTGATATTCCGTTTCTCTTAGTCTTAATTCACGTTAATATATTGATGAAACAAAATCTGAATTTAATTTGAGATTGTTGGATTAATGATGCACTACCTGGGCCAAAACCCGTCCCCTAGCCCATTATAACCTTTTGGTAAAGCCCTTTTTGATAAACCACCATAGAACCCTGCTTGGGCTTTTACTGATTGGGCTCGGCGCCCAGTTTGCTTTAGCCACACCATTAAATTCGGCTCTGCGCCCCCCAAAGCCCTTTGTTCCTTTATGTGAAAAGTTTGTTTTCTTTTTTTCTTGTTTTTGTTTATGTTAGGCCAGGCCTTGCGCCCAAACTTCCTTTTTACACCATGTTACCTACTGTTTGCACCCTTGGCTCGGTTTGGCTCGTTTTCTTTTTTTGATTGTTTTAAATTACAAAAAATTAGAGTTAGGATTTTAATTCCCTTTTGTTTTTAATATCTCTTAAATATAAAATAATAAATAATAAAATACCAAAATTATTAATAGTATTGGTAGATAATATTAGATTTAGAATTTTAATTTTCTTTTGGTATTAGAATTTCTTTATTTTTGTAGTCATAGATAATTCTAGAATTTAGGTTTTTTTTTTCTTCTGATCTTTTGATCTCTCTATTTGAAAATATCTTAAAAAATATACATTGATAGTTATTTCTTTGCTCGGTAAACCTTGATAACTTGTTTCCTTAAGTAGTTCCATGAGACTATTAAGCTCTTTTTTTTAATTGTTTTGTATTGAAATTAAACTTTGGGGTCGAATTTTGTACATAATAACAATTAGGTTTTCTTCTAGTCTCCCTCTTAAACTATTTTCTTCTTTTATCATTAAAACTCATCATTCATAAATCAAAAATCCAAAAAATACCTTTAATCATTACTTTAATTCATTTTAAAACCCGCAAAACACTCAACCAATCGAAACTCCCCCAAAGGGGCATGTTATCTCAGTTCTACCGCGATACCGGCCATGCCTATTGCTAGAATGCATGCGTTAACATCGCCCACTAAAAAACACAAATAAACAAACAATTTTCAAGAAGAACTACAGTGTTCTGATTCCTTCATTGGATACGTAGGCAAAGGATCGCGAAACCCTCACGAACGCAATAATAAAAAACCCATTCATTTCCCCCTTAAGCAAGTATAGTTGTAGATAATTACACCCTTCAAGACAAGCAAATAAAATGGATCTCGTTGAGTACAACAGATGTGAGGGGTGCTAATACCTTCCCCTCGCATAACCGACTTCCCTACCCTTACTCTTGGTCGCAAGACCATCTTATCCATTCCCTTGTGGTTTTATCGATATTTCCCCTTCCTTCGGGATAAATAAAGTTCGGTGGTGGCTCTGTATTTTCTGTCGGTAGCTTCAGACCCTTTACAAATAAATCATTGGATCCTTGAGGTATCTTTGTAATACTAGACCAGATATCTACCAAAGTGTGGGATTGTTGAGCAAATTTATGGAGAAGCCTCAGGAATGTCATCTCATTGCAGTGAAGAGGGTGTTGAGATACATAAAGGGACCTATTGTTCATGGTGTGTTGTTACCAAAGAAGTCGAAGAACAACACATATGTCAAAGTTCATGGATACACTGACCTAGACTACAGTGGAGATCAAGACAAAAAGAAGAGTACTACAGGCTACATTTTCATGATCGAAGGAGCTCCAATCTCCTAGAGTTCGAGGAAGCAAAGTATTGTGGCTTTTTCATCATGCGAAGCAGAATATGTGGTTGCATCATATGCTGCATGCCAAGCAGCATTGATCGAAATGCTACTTGAAGAACTCAGAATAACATAATCGAAGATGAAGCTGTTTGTTGATAACAAGTCAGCTATAAACCTTTCGAATCACCCAATGTGTCATGGTCGAAGTAAGCACATTGAAAGAAGGTATCATTTTCTGAGGGATCAAGTCAACAAAGGGAAGCTTGAAATAAAACATTGCAAGATAAAAGTGCAACTAGCTGACATATTCACCAATCCTCTGAAGAAAGTAAGGTTTGAAGAGTTAAAGAAAGACATTGGGATGAGAAGTCTTGATAACATGAATTAGGGGATGCGTTAGTTGGTTAATTCTTGTTATGTAGTTATTTGGGCTTTTAGCATGTAATTGGGCCTGAGCATTTTTGTCTATATAAAAGGTATTTTGTTTGTGCAGTAACGATATAATAACAAATTAGTTAGATAGTTAGTTACACATAACTAACTCATCATTCTCTCTCTCTTATTCTTCTTCTTCTTATTTTCACAAAATCATCTTTCTTAAATCCTTTGTTCCAACAAAAAGTTGATACAATTATAAGTTCATTAGGTACCAATTTGAAGTTTAATTCTACCCTATTATATATTTTTACTTGTATTTCATTTTAGTTATGATGCTGGTCCACCTCCACCATCACCTAAGTAGAAACATATATTTTAGGTATATTTTTCGTGGTTAATGTAAAAATTTGTATGCCCAATCGATTGGTCCAACCATCATATTCAACGATATTATAATGAGTACTAAGTAGGTAGGTCCATTGACAAGAAAGAGATATTAAGAGATACCATTTTATGTAATGGTTCACAATTGAAATGATAGTCAAATAAATAACGTAGTCAAATAAATAACGTATTTCCTTTAATCACAACCTCCTAGATTTTTCTTTTTTGTAATTCTCAGTATTTATCAAATTTTGAACATTATCCTTTTGTTCTCCCTATTAAAGCATATGTTTATCACATGTTTTTCAGCCAAATATCTTGTACACACAACATATAAGCAGTGAACATCATCAAAGATGAGTACGTTTTCTGACAATAAAAAGCCACATGCTGTGTTGATTCCATACCCATCTCAAGGCCATATCAGTCCATTGTTCAAACTAGCAAAACTTCTTCACTTTAGAGGCTTTCACATAACCTTTATCAACACTGAATACAACCACAAACGCTTGCTCAAATCAAGAGGTCCAAAAGCCTTTGATGGTTTGATAGACTTCACCTTTTAGACTATTCCAGATGGTTTAACTCCAATGGAAGCTGATGGTGACGTTACTCAAGACGTACCTTCTCTTAGTCAATCTATCAGAAAGAATTTCCTCAAACCCTATTGTGAACTTCTTTCTAGACTTAATGAATCTTCCAATGCTGGTCTTATTCCACATGTTACTTGCTTAGTTTCTGACTGTTTGATGACTTTTACTATACAAGCTGCTAAACAATTTGCACTACCACATGCTCTCTTTTTTCCATCAAGTGCATGTTGTTTATTGTGTATTTTGCACTTTCGTTCCTTTGTAGAAAAAGGTCTCACGCCACTCAAAGGTACTGCTAAATTAACTTTGTCTTTAAGAGTATAATATAAGCATATATATAATTACTGTTACTTATTATATATGTGTAGGCGTGTGTGTGAAACTTCAAACTATTTTAACTTTGATATTCATGATATGCAGATGAGAGTTATCTAACAAATGGATATTTGGAAACTAAAGTAGATTGGATTCCAGGTTTAAAAAACTTTCGGTTGAAAGACATTATCGACTATACCCAGACAACAAATCCAAATGATATCATGTTAGAATTCTTTATTGATATGACCGATAGAGTTCATAGAGATTCTACTATCATTTTGAACACTTTTGTTGAACTTGAGAGTGATGTAATAAATACTCTAATCTCTATGTTTCCATCTCTTTACCCCATTGGCCCTTTACCTTCATTGTTAAACCAAACTCCACATAATCATCAATTAGCATCTCTAGGTACCAATCTTTGGAAAGAAGATACCAAGTGTCTTGAGTGGCTTGAATCCAAGGAATCTGAATCTGTTGTTTATGTGAATTTTGGAAGCATCACAGTTATGACTCTAGAGCAACTGTTGGAGTTTGCTTGGGGTTTGGCCAATAGCAAGAAACCGTTTTTGTGGATTATTAGGCCTGATCTTGTCATTGGTGGCTCGGTGGTTTTGTCATCTGAGTTTTTGAATGAAATTTCTGATAGAGGCCTAATAGCAAGTTGGTGTCCACAAGAGAAAGTGTTGAATCACCATTCAATTGGTGGATTCTTGAGTCACTGCGGATGGAACTCAACCACTGAAAGTATATGTGCTGGAGTGCCAATGTTGTGTTGGCCATTTTTCGCTGATCAGCCAACAAACAGTAGATTTATTTGCAATGAATGGGAGATTGGAGCTGAAATCGATCCAAAAGTGAAGAGAGATGAGGTGGAGAAGCTTGTAAATGAATTGATGGTGGGAGAGAAAGGAAAGAAGATGAGGCAAAAAGCAATGGAATTGAAGAAGAAGGCAGAGGAGAATACTAGTCCAGGAGGTTGTTCATACATGAACTTAGACAAAGTTATCAATGAAGTGTTGCTTAAAAAGAATTAGAAATGTTTCCGACAGATCAAGAACGAAATTGAACCAATTTAATTATGTTCATAAAATATCTGGTCACAGTCTGGATTAATGGTTCAATTAGGAACCACAGAATATATTAGTTTAATCAGGTTCCAAATGAACCTTTACAGTTAAGTTTTACTGAACTTTTGTAACTGATAAGTTCAATTTATCTTAGGGAACCTAGCCATAAACTGTTCCAGCAACCAGAATTTTACAAGCTATTACTTTTTATTGATGTAATGTATTTTTAAGTATGTACTGTTTTAATATTCTCTTTGGAATTAACACTACATAATTGACGTTTGAAATATTGTTAAGTATGTAGTACTGTTTTAATATTCCATTTGGAATTAAAAAGTTAGAAGAAATACTGTTGAAGACATCGTGGTTAGTGCATGTTTTTTTGGGGAGATTTTTAATAGAGGATAACTTTTTTATCAATTAGTTTAATATTGGATGTTACAAGATCATATATTGAGAGACACTAAGATATATGATATCTACATTGATTTTGACAGAGTTTTAGATAGTCTTAATGGTACAATTTTGTCAATAAAATTGACTTGATACATTTCTCTATTGCATTCCATATTATATATAATCGTATCACTAATTACACGTAATTACAAATCATAATGACAAATATTCAATTGTCTAATTTATTAACCTATTATAGGAAAGTCGATAATTTACAATAACGGCTAATATCAATTCCTAATTAACATCTGTTAACACCTCCCTCAAATTGATGTGGCTGGTCAATAAGCATCAATTTGCTAGCAAGAAATTGATGGCATGGACGCGAAACGGCTTTGGTAAGAATATTTGTAACTTAAAGTTGAGTACTGATATGAGAAAGTGCTATAAGTCAGTCATCATAGACATCACAAATTGATGACAATCGACTTTGATATGTTTGGTGCATTCATGAAAAACTGAATTTGCAACAATCTGGATGGCACTTGTATTGTCGGTATAAAGTTGCGTAGGCTCTGTTTGAAAAAATTCAAGTTCAACCAAAATACCACTTAGCCAAATGATTCCTGAGCAAGCATCAGACATGGCATGATACTCAAATTCAGTAGAGGATTTAGAGACTCTTGCTTGCTTTTTACTTTTCCATGAGATCAACGAGGAACCAAGAAACATGCACAAACCAGCGACAGATCGACGAGTGTCCGGACACCCTGCCTAATCAGCATCACTATAAACACTCAATTTGGGAGCTTTTCCGGTTGGAAAAATTAGACCACGATGAGAGGTTCCTTTCAAATAACGAATTATACGACGAACTGCTACCAAATGTTAGGTGCCAAAAAGTCATGTTTTGAGTAGTTAGTTTGTGGCACTTTTCGATTCTTGTTTGTTAATATCCTTGAATAATTTCCCGTTTTTTGTATAATTATGTATAAATTGTATTTAATCGATTTTTTTGTATTTGTGTATCGTTTGATAGTTTTCTATTCATTTTATAGGTATTGATGCGTATTTGGAGCATGAACAATAAAGTATCGAAGACACGACTTAAACGCGCGATTTTGAGCAACTCATCAATGAATAAGGCTCAAAATCAAATAATAATAAATCATCAATTTTGTTGATATTTAGGCATTATTAGATAGATAATTGAATAAGCTTTCCAACCCTTCGAACTAGACATAAATCAGAGTTACGGTTCTCAAGTTATGGCGAAAACAAAAAGCTGATTTTTTTCTCATGACAGCAGAGTGTGCTTAGCGAGATCTGTGCCACTTAGCGCAGTCTCATGGACATAAATTCGTTAAAAGGGGCAAAAACACATTTTTTAGAGGATGTTTTGGGTATTTTTGGTCCCAATCCATCAAACCTTCATTTTTTAGTAGAGAGTTTAGAAAACAACATCAGAGCTTGCATACGGATGATCCGGGGTGGATTGATCATCAATCGGCACTGATAAATCGGGAGATTTTTGGTTAATTTATCTTCCTCTTTGTGTATTTCTCTTTGGTTTGGTTTTGTATATGATTTTACTTTTAACTCATGTATATTTGTCGCCTGCGGTGTTACTTTAATTTTCTTTACAAATCTGTGTCGATTGTTATCTTAGATTTTTGCTCTGTGCTCGGGGTTTGGATTCTTATAGACATATACTGCTCAAATCCTTATCTAGGATGATTATCTGTTAGTTTCTGGACTCTAGAGATAGATTTAGAACTAACAATATTTATGGGTTTCGAAGCTTAATGCTTATGTGTTGGTTGTGTCGGTTGAAAGATCGTCGATATGAGTAATATGCATGTCAGTTGTATTGTTGAGGTTGGCTGAGAGATCGTCGCTGAGATGATATAGTAGTTCTCTCTACTTTGGGTTAGAAATAACTTAGGGAGTGAGTGATGCTAGATGACTCTGAGGAGTATTGTAGGTTGAGTGTAATTGGTCGATAAGTTTAAGTTTGTGAGAAGTAGATTATATGCATGCTTGATAAGTTTCTTCTTTCTAGAGAATGGATTATTTCCTATTCATATTTACTTTTATATTTTTATGTTTTACCAATTCAATCCAAACCCATAACTGCAGGAACTGCTGAATGGCACTTCAGTAGTAATAATCTCTATGGACACGATAAATATTTCTAAAACTGTTGTTGCTTTCCTCTTTCCCGCTTCAACACCAAACGAAGATGCCTAGGAGAGTGCATGAACTAGATTACTTGTTGAACAACAAAAGATACGTCAGGATGTGTAATAGTCAACTAATTAAGCCTACCCACAAGTTGTCGATACAATAAAGGATCAGGTAAAAGATCACCATTATCACGATGATACTTAACATTAACCTCAAGAGGGGTATCCACTTGATTATCTGATTCGAGACCAGCCATAGAAATCAAATTATTGTCATACTTGTGTTGATGAAGGATGGTTTCATTGGATGTAGAATGAACCTAAAGACCAAGAAAATAATGTAGATTACCCATATGTTTTATGTGAAATGAGGCATGTAATTGTTGCTTAAGTCGTTGAATAGAAGCATGATCATAACCAGTAATAACCATATCATCAACATACAAAAGAAGCAGGACAATACTCACATATGTGCTATAAATAAATAAAGAGGAATTATACTGACTCTGATTAAAGGAGAACCCAATTAGAGTGGAGCGGAATTTCTCGTACCATGCTCTAGGTGCCTGTTTCAAACTATATAAGGAGTATTTGAGCTTGCGCACACCTTTAGATGAAGAGAATAAGCCTTAAGGTAGAGTAATATAAATATCTTATGTCAAGTCACAACAAAGAAAATAATTCTTCATATTCATTTGATGAAGAGACCACCCACTAGAAGCATCTATTGAGATGATCGTGCGAACAATTATCATTTTGACAATCGGTGCAAATGCCTCATCATAATTAATAACATACTCCTGCTTGTTTCCTAAGGCAACTAAACAAGCCTTATAACAGTTGAGAGATCCATCAGAATTTAATTTCACAGAACAAACCCATTTGTAACCTATAGGTTTGACATCAGGAAGACAAGAGACAATATCTCATGTGAAATTCTCTTGAAGAGATTGAAGCTCTTAATTCATTTCTTTTATCCATCACACATTTTTAACAACATGTG